ATGAACTACAACATAGACAGTAAAGCTGCATATTTAAACTGGGGCATAACAAAAATAAAAATGGCAGAAGCTGTTGTTTTACTTCAAACTGTAGTGCAATGGATTTGGAGTTAAACAACAGCATTTATAGAAATGGAAACCTTGTGAGATGACCTAATGGGAAATGACTCAATGGTTTACAGTACCATGTATACAGTTGGAATTCTACATCCACAGGTTCAACCATCTACTGTTTGAAGATTTCTCCCCTCAAATAATCCAATAAGCAAACCATTTTGTATTAATTAACCTGGTAGTGTAGTGGGTTAAACTGCTGAATTGCTGAACTTGCTGACTGAAAGGTCGGTGGTTTGATTCTGGGTGTCAGGGTGTGCTCCCATTGTTAGGCCCAGCTTCTGCTAACTTAGTAGTTCAAAAACACACAAGTGTGAGTAGATCAGTAGGTACTGCTTTGGTGGGCAGATAATGACACTCCATGCAGTCATGCCAGCCACATGACCTTGGAGGCTTCTACAGACAACACCGGCTCTTCAGCTTAGAAATTCAGATGAACACCTCTCAGAGTTGGACATGACTAGACTTAATGTCAAGGGGAAAACCTTTTCCTACAAGGGACAACATTTTACTACACCACTGTATACAATAGGATTTCAGCATCCACAGATTTTGGTATACATAAGGATCCTGAAACCAAATCCCAGCAGATTTGAAGTGCAATAATTGGTAATGACGACAGGAATGGAACAATGGAAAATGATACTGGATTGTGGTTTAAACGATGAGACGACGCGAATGGCTTTTTGTATTTTGATATTGTTGATGTTTTTGGATGATGATGTTTTTGATTATTGCTAGATTGATATTTTAGATTGTGTTGAATTTTGAACCTGTTCCTTCTATGTTGTACACCGCTGTGAGTCGCCCTTGGGCTGAGAACAGCGGTCTATAAGCAAAGTAAATAAATAAATAAATAAATAAATATGGTACCCGGTATCTGGAGGTCCATCTGCAGTGGAATTAATGCAGTCTGACTTCGCTTCAACTTTTATGGCTCAGTGCTATGAAATCTTAGGATTCGTAGTTTGGCGAGATAGCCCCAGCTTCTGCCAACTTAGCAGTTTGAAACCATGTAAATGTGAGCAGATCAATAGGTATCGCTCTGGCGGGAAGGTAACGGCGGTCCATACAGTCATGCCGGCCACATGACCTTGGAGGTGTCTACTTAGAAATGGAGATAAGCACTATCCCCAAGAGTTGGACATGACTAGACTTAATGTCAGGGAAACCTTTACCGAGATAGCAGCAGTCTCTGGCAGAGAAGCTAAAGGCCTGGCAAAACAACAGCCCCCGTGATTCCATGGCAACTAAAGTGCATTACCTCAACAGTGTAGATGAACCCTGGGTTTTCCCCTGTGAATCCAATAAGAGTTGCTACTTCTGAAAGGCAGGATCAATTATGGTAGAGTAGGCATAGCCAAACTTTGGCCCTCCAGGTGTTTTGGACTTCAACTCCCACAATTCCTAACAGGTGAGAGATGATGTCCAAAACACCTGGAGGGACGAAGCTTGCCCAGGCCTGAGGGAAAAGGTTTATCTTGAGTACAGGCAGATTTCCAGAGTGTTATTCCCTAGGCTGCCTGGTGAAGATGTGAGTGAATGCAGCAGACAATCCAGTCCTGCCTGGCTCTTTCGTTGCCTTCCTCCTCTCGCGAAGCTCGAGAGCGGAGGCCTCCCTTTGGGGGAAGAGGGCCCGGCTCTCGGCGAGGGGAAGCCAGGCTCCGAAGGAGAGAAGGACCCGCGACCCACCCTGGTAAGGCTTGATGAGGGAGTGCTCCCGCTTGAGGTGCTCGTTGTTGCCGTCCGTGAGCTCCGCGGCCCCTCGCGGCGGCGCCGTCAGGGCCAGGAGCAGCGCGGGGAGGAGGAGCAGCGTGGGCGCCCCCGCCATCCCGGCCCACCGCGCCGATCCCCCTCGGCCACGGCCGCCGCCACCGCCTCCCGGATCCGCTACCATCCTACGCCCCCTTGTCCCGCTACTTCCTGCTTCCGGCCGGCCTCCCCAGACCGGAAGCAGACGTCTGGGAAAGCGAAGCCCGGGCAGGCAGGAAGACGCTCTTTGTTTTCTAACTGGTCTCTATGGTCGAAGCCCTGCCCCTGACGGCTGAGGGAGATTGCAGGAAACGTCAGAATGGCCGGCGCCCCCTGCTGGTCCTGAGAGGCGGAAGGCCAAAGGAGCGCCACGTGGATCCACCTGAGTGGATGGAAGGAAGGAGGGAGGGAGAGGCGCGAACAAGAGCCCATTCTCAGTCGCCTCCCCGCCATGACATTAAGGACAGAGGGTGTGGCGGAGTAGAAACCTGCTTTGAGTCTGGCATGGAGAGGCCTCTTGCAATGGCACTCTTTGCTCAACTCTGTGGGCCCATCCACACAGCCCAGAATATCAAGGCAGAAAATCCCACAATATCTGCCTTGGACTGGGGATTTTCTGCCTTGTGGGATTTTCTGCCATGATATTCTGGGATATGGGGCTGTGTGGAAGGGCCCTGGGTGTGATGCACACCCACTTCCTCAACCCTGGACCGTCCTCAAAGTGATTACTTCCATTCCAGCCATGGGTTGAGAGCACAGGAAGCATCCCTGCCACACAGCTGTGAAAAATCCACATTGAACTGGATTATACAGGGTGAGGCAGCATAACTTCCTTTTTTCAAAACTTAATAAGACTCGTATGAATCAGAACTTTTTTTAGTATAATGTAGGCACATACCTAAAGTTTTGTTTTACATAGTTTTGAAGATCAAAAGAGTTAGGTGACTTCCCCCACTCTCCATACACTGAGTAAACCGATTTCTGGCGTTTGTCATGACTTTCCAGCATAGCAGGCGTTATGTTGGCAATTTCTTCCTGGATGTTGGTCTTCAAATCTTGTAGGGTTCTTGGACGGTTCACATAAACACGGGATTAAAAAAAAACCCATAGAAAAAAATCACAAGAGGCCAAATTTGGAGAGCGGGCCGGCCACTCCAAATCCGCTCAAAAAGTAGGCCTCAACGGCAAAAGCATGCTCCTCAGTGTTACAAAGCATGATGGCAACTGAACTGTGTCAGGACAAAACTTTATACTCCCGCCTCTCAAACGAGACCACTAGCGCTCTGCTACGTCTTCAGCCTACCAAATGGCGCGCATTTTAAAAAAGGAAGTTATTCTGCTTCACTCTGTATAGCAGTGTGGACTCAGGGGTTTTCCATGGAGCCATATAGCCCAGAATACCAAGGCAGATAATCCACAATATCTGCTTTGAACTGGGTTATCTGAGGGCCCTTCTTGCGCAGCCCTATAGCCCAGAATATCAAGGCAGAAAATCCCACATCTGAATGTGGACTCGGATAACTCAATTCAAAGCAGATATTGTGGGATTTTCTGCTCGATATTCTGGGATATAGGGCTGTGTGGAAGGGCCCTGGGTGTGATGCACATCCACTTCCTTAACCCTGGACCGTCCTCAAAGTGATTACTCCCTTTCCAGCCATTGGTTGAGAGCACAGGAAGCCCCCTGCCACACAGCTGTGAAAAATCCACATTGAACTGGATTATATAGCAGTGTGGACTCAGGGCTTCTCCACAGAGCCATATAACTCAGAATATCAAGGCAGATAATCCACAATATCTGCTTTGAACTGGGTTATCTGAGGGCCCTTCTTGCACAGCCCGATATCCCAGAATATAAAGGCAAAAGATCCCACATTATCTGAATGTGGACTCGGATAACCCAATTCAAAGCAGATATTGTGGGATTTTCTGCCTCGATATTCTGGGATATAGGGCTGTGTGGAAGGCCCCTGAAGCCCCTTCTACACAGCTGAATAAAATCCCACATCTGCTTTGAATTGGAATATATGACAATGTGGACTCATAACCCAGTTCAAAGCAGATTTTGTGGGATTTTTTGCCTTGATATTCTGGGTTATATGGCTGTAGAAAAACCCTCAGTCCACACTGCCATATAACAGTTCAAATCAGATAATGTGGGATTTTACCCAGCTGTGTGGAAGGGGGCTCAAATAATCCAATTCAAAGCAGATATTGTGGGATTTTCTGCCTGGATATGCTGAGTTATATGGCTGCGTGGAAGGGCCCTAAGTAAGGCTTTTCAGCAGTGTGGAGGCATTCCATATTTTCCTGTTAGCTGGAAGGAGAAATAAAATAATGCTATCAAGCGACACTTAGTATGGCCTTAAATTATTCAGATCAATTTAGCACTGCTTCTACCCTTCATTAAAATAATATTCAGCTAAAAATTAATGTAGGAAATACCTTGTTTCCTCTGTAACTATGGCCCTTTCCTGAATAAAACCCCACATTATCTGCTTTGAACTGGAATATGTGGCAGTGTGGACAGATAACCCCGTTCAAAGCAATTATTGTGGGTTATTATGCCTTGATATTGTGGGTTATATGCCTGTGTGGAAGGGTCCTCTGTCTTTAATGAATGTCTTCTTCCATGTCCATTCCTTGTAAAAAAAATGGTAATTAGTTTCATTCCTGCCTAAATGGGGGTAATAGAACAGATGTTTCAGAAAAGTTGTGGCTATGAATGAAGGAAGGTAACTGTTTTCAAACAGACAGACATTTCCTAATTAAAAAGACATAGTCCTTGAAAACAATTGCAATAATACAATTTCAGCTACACAAAATGCTGTATGATAGCCACAAATCAAGTGTGGCTATCATACAGCAAGTGTGGTAGCTATGTGGGCAAAAAAAAAAAAAAACCCACAGAAAAACATTGGCGCACTCTGCTGGCACTTTTTTTCTGAAACCTCTACAAACTGAATTAACAAATGATTCCCATTTAAATAAGTTAACTCGCATGGAAGCAATCCTTGACATTGACCTCTTTGCAAATCTTGGTTTGTGTTGAAACCCAGTTGATCATACACATGATAAGGATGACTTGAATAACCCATGTTTTGAGCAACCAATTCAGAAACCGACAACAACTCTTAGGCTACAGGCCACTTTATTGAACCAAGTCTGCCTCACCTTAGAACAGGAATAGAAGAGTATATTCAGTTGTAGGAGGTGCAGTCTCTCTTCCTGATTTTTCCCCCACCAGGATCCTCATGAGTAGAAAAAGTTTAGAAAGTGGAACTTCTGTTTTCTGGTCCTGAGAAGTGATCCATCTGAAGCTTTTCTGTCACTTGCAAGAGACTGTATGTGTATATTTACATCCCATATTTTCAAAGCTCTTGAATTTTCTGCAGCATTTCCAAAGCAGGGGGTATTGAGCACCAGATGAAATGACTTCCCTAGATATCTTACTTGTTGGCTTGTTTCTTGTTGATTTTCTGCTCCAGTTAGAAATGAAGGAAATCCTACAACAATTTAGCTTGAGATAACTTTTACTGTTATTAGTATAATATGCCATCAGTAAATGACGAAAGGAGTGTAAATGAAGGCTGTAAGGATTGGAAATATTAAAACTGCACTCTTGGAGTTGCCTTGAAAATACAAATGTATCAAAAGCATACATGTAAGCAGCAAACACCCTCTCTAATAAGTTGATAGGTGAGATCATCATGTTAAGCTGCTTATAGAGTGAACAGCATATCTATAGTATTATTTATTTTATTTATTGTATCAGAAGCGAACCGAGGGTACAGTTGTAATGTATTTAAGTACACAAATAAAGTTTAAAAACTTGGCATTATACTAAATATCCTTTGACCAGTTGGAGTGCCTCTGGTGTTGCTATGAAGAGGTCCTCCATTGTGCATGTGGCACAGTTATCTACAGTAACAATATTAATTTTATGCTTGGATTTCCTATTGTGATTTTAAAAAATGCTTCATGTATGGAATCTGTCACATGTATGTATGTTAGATGATTCCCAGAATTCTGGCTTGATTTTCCAGTTTAGGGTGTTTCTTAGATAAAATAATTATTGTGTTGTTAATCAGGTCATGTTTCTCATGGTAATATTAGAGTAACTCCTTTTCTTATTTTGGAATTTTGGATACTGTTGTGATGGCTCCTTTTGCTGTGCGCCTTTTGCATGCCTCCAGGAATTTGGTAGAGGAAATTTAATTTCTGTGCTCACCAGTACTGTCATTTCTTCCGGCTTGTGATTTGGCTGCAAATCCAGTTCATCCCATCCTAGAAGAATCAGAGGCAAAAGTCAGTGGCTTCCACTACCAAGTCCTACTTCCAGCACTAAGCATCACTGTGTACCAGTGTTAGCTCTCACTAGCCATACATCTATATACTGATCCTAATGATGTTCTACTGTTTTATCCTCTAGAACCTTTTCTTCTTCTCTGTCCAAAAGGAAAAGTTTATTTTTGGTAACAGCTCCCCAGCCTCCCCAGCCAAGCATGCTTATTGACATGCTGATCAGGGAATTCTGGCAACTGGAATCCAAAACCTTTCCACCTCTGATTCCCTTGATACCTGAACTCCTTCACCAGACAGGGCAGAACAGGCTTGGATTTGCCATGGTCGGTCTCGATACGTGTGCAGGTTCAGCCCTTCAGCAATGTCGGCTGCGGGGGATGCTGTTGCTAGATCCTGCTTGTTAGCAAATACTAGTAAAGGGACACCAGTAAGATTGTCATCTTCCACCAGTTCTGACAATTCCTGTAATATAGAACACAATGGATTCTTAACAAGTTCATCTGAACAACAAAATCAGGATCCATTGTAAGGTGGTGGGGGTAATACTACTGAGGCTTAAAAACACTTTTCTGTCATCACTGTTGCCTATAATTCGCCTCTGAAAATCTGCTGACAAACCTCCAGCTTCATAGCACAATTGTCACAGTTAAACTGGAGAGCCAATATAATATAGTGGTTAGGACAATGGCTTAGGCCTTGAAAGAGCTGGGTTCTAATCCCCAAAGAGCCATACATATACAGGGTGAGCATGGGGCAGTTGCTCTCTCTCAGCCAGACCCACTCCATAGGATTATTCTGAGGATGAGAGCTACGGTAGGTATCCCGCCTTGAGTTTGTTAGTTGAGACTGAAATGCTAAGATGACAATTTTAATATCCATTAAACCCCAAAGTGGGGAGTTGTGAGGTCAAGACATCAAGCAGGCTTTGGGCACCTGGTTCTATTTCAGACTGTTATTGACAATATGTTCAGTTTTTCAGGGAATCCATTGCCAAATACAGAGTGCAGTGCTGTCCAAATTGTTGAATGAACAGACTCCATGTGTTTGTGTTGTAGGTTGGGATTACAGTATAAAGGGGTGTGAGGTTTGTCCTACCTGCCCAGTCTCCTCAAAGCGTTTCTGGTCAGCACTGTCAATAACATAAATCTGCAAAAGAAAAAGAAAAAACAGCAGGAAAGAAAGAAGGGTTGTTACCAGCTGTAATATTATTAGAGATAAAACTCTTTTGGTTCTCTTTACATATACTATATATACTCAAGTATAAGTCGAGTTTTTCAGCCCTTTTTTTAATCTGAAAAGGCCCTCCTTAGTTTATACTCAAGTCAAAGTTATTTATTATTTTATTATTATTATTATTATTATTATTATTATTATTTTAATTACATTTATTATTTACTCTATTATTATTACATTTACATTATTTTACTCAATTATTATTTTTGTTACATTTATTATTTTACTCTATTATATTTATTATTTTACACTATTATTATTGGAAGTATACGTAAGCACCTTTGCATTGATGAAGGTTAGACTAATGATTTAATCAGAGTTGGACAGTATTATTTTAAATTACAGTTTTATGTACATATTCAAAAACATTTAACCTACTGATGCCTCAATTAATGTAATTTTATTGGTATCTATTTTTATTTTGAAATTTACCATCCCACCCTCAGTTTATACTCAAATCAATACGTTTTCCTACTTTTTTGTGGTAAAATTAAGTGCCTCGGCTTATATTTGGGTTGGCTTATACTCGAGTATATATGGGTTGTCCCTTAAAATATATCTGAGACAGACAATCAAATGCACCCATCCATCCATGTAATAATCTAATAAAAAAACTAAGTAATGGGAAAATTAGTTATTCTATAATGGTAACCCTATGTCTACCATTACATTACATTGCCTGATAATAGTATTGGTCTTCCTCTAAATATTAATCTAGCCAATTTGTTCCTGCAGATAGAGTACTGCAGAGGGAATTTGGTCTGCTGGGTCTCAATGCTCACCAGCATGTCTGTGCTGCCCAGATACTTCTTCCAGTAGGTCCGGATGGCCCGTTGTCCTCCGATGTCCCACACATTAAGTTTGAACCCATGAGAGTGGACACTTTTAATGTTGAATCCCTGTGGATAGGAAGGAAAAGAGACTGCTAAGAAAGAGATCTGCTGGCTACTGCATAGTCAATCGCAGGTTCAATTTACAATGGGTTGTCATTTGTAATGTGGAGACCTGGTGAAGGAGAGAGGTGAAGCACATGCAGATTATGCCACATGTGGAGAACTCTTAGCTATTAATGTGTTTGGACTTCAACTGCTAGAAGACCCTGCCAGTATTCCCAGTGGTGTGAGATTCCCACATGCCACCATTATAACTAGAAATTGGGATAGGTGGGGTAGTCACATAGAGGAGGAACTTGGTTTGTCAGCTTCAGTCCCTGTAGCACACAGTGGTCTCTCATTAACGTAGTGTGAAACAGTGTAGAATAAAATTAAAGACAAAGTGGTATACTTTTCACCATATGCAGAATGGTTCTGTCATATCATCAGAGTCACTTCAGCTTTCACTGTTATTGAATCGTTAAAAAATGATTCACTAACCCCAAATCCGTTATTCAGAACTCCATTTCTGAATGAATTGGATTAATCTCTTTGATCAGGACTAAATTGTAAATAGGTTAGGCCACAGATGTTTCATGTTCGACGTTAAGCCCCTTTAAATAAAGTTTTCAGACTTCGTTAATTCCTGCTGAAATTTTCTGTGTACAAGCCAGCAAATTGGTTTGAGGCATAAACAAGAAGAGATTTTGATTCCAGGAAGAATGAGAGGAAGCCTTTTGTTCTGCTAAATGTTCATAGCCCAGAATATAAGCAAATAATTGCATTCTCCATAGTTTGAACATTTACAAATCAGTCAGTGAAATAACCACTATTAAAACACATGCATCACAACACAGACCTCACAACTTCTGAGGAGGCCTGCCATAGATGCAGGCAAAACGTCAGGAGAGAATGCTTCTGGAACATGGCCATACAGCCCAAAAACCTTACAGCAACCCATGCATCATAATATTTCTACATTGGAGTTAAATGTGTCATAAAAATGAATGTTAATGTTTCTTTGTACAGGATATAAAATGTCCTTTAGCAATCACTCTCATCTCATGAAAAATTTATGAATTAAGAAAATGTGCAGCGGTTTTCCTGGCCCGGATGGCCTGATTTACAAAGCACACTTCATGGTAAGATGCAAAATACCAGAGCCATCTGCAAATGCTTAAAATCATAGAGCTTTCCTGGCCCTGGCATTTTACCTAGATGGTGTGGGTTGCAAATTGGGTACAGTGAAATAATAGCTTCAGGTGTATAGACTCCATGGGTCCAACACACAGCAATCCAGTTACAAGGAAGTGAATAAAGTGAAGCTAACAATATCATACTATATCTGTATTGCCCAAATAACATATTTCTTATGGTTGTTGTCCTTTTGTATCAGGGATAGGGAATGTGAAGCTCTTGACAGATTGTTGGGCTGCCATTCCCATCGGCTCTAGTCATCAGAGGCACTAAGCAGTAATGAGAGATACTCTAATTTGCAATTCATAACAACTTCTGGAGGGCCATGTAATCCCCATCTCTAATTTTCATGAATTTATGTGTAATAAAGGTTGGATGTCTCTTATCCAAAATTCTTGGGATCAAAAGTGTTTCGGATTTCAGGTGTTTTTGGAAACCTGTATTTGCATATAGATACACAATGGCCTATCTTGGACCTGAGAACCAAATCTAAATGTAAAATTCATTTATGTTTCATATACATCTTACTCATATAACCTGAAGATAATTTTATACTTAATATTTTAAATACGTTGTGCATAAAACAAAGTTTTTTTAAGAATCGTTTTTTAATTCTTTATTAGAACACACAAACGATGTATAAAACTACCAATACCTACATCTATATAGTGTTCAAAGTTTTAAGAATATTGAATCGTCAGAAGGCAAGTGTATGACTTCCTACTCATGTGGGCAATTTTGGAGTATTTTGGATTTTGGAATTCTGGATAGGGGATACTCAACCTGTACACAACTTTTATTTTTGCTTTGTGAAATAGTAACCCCCTTAGTTAATGGAGAAAGGCAGGGAGTTTCAGAAAAAACATCTATTTTTGTTTTATTGACTATTCTAAAGCCTTTGACTGTGTGGATCATAATAAATTGTGGCAAGTTCTTGGTGGTATGGGCATACCAAAACACCTTATCTCTCTCCTGAGGAATCTGTATAAGGACCAAGTAGCAACAGTAAGAACTGACCATGGAACAACAGACTGGTTCAAGATTGGGAAAGGGTTAGGGTTAGGGCAGGGTTGTATACTCTCCCTCAACCTATTCAATTTGTATGCAGAACACATAATGCAATGTGCGGGGCCAGAGGAATGCAAGGCTGGGCTGAAAATAGCTGGAAGCAACATTAACAACCTTAGATATGCAAATGACACCACTTTGATGGCCGAAAGCAAGGAGGAGCTAAGGAGCCTTCTAATCAAGGTGAAAGAAGAAAGCGCAAAAGCTGTGTTCCAGTCAAACATAAAAAAACCCAATATTATGGCAACAAGAATGACTGACAACTGGGAAATAGAGGAAGAAAACGTGGAGGCAGTGACAGACTTTGTATTTTTAGGTGCAAAGATTACTGCAGATGCAGACTGCAGCCAGGAAATCAGGAGACGCTTACTTCTTGGGAGGAGAGCAATGACCAATCTTGATAAAATAGTGAAGAGTAGAGACATCACACTGGCAACAAAGATCCGCATAGTAAAAGCAATGGTATTCCCCATAGTCACCTACAGATGTGAGAGCTGGACCATAGGGAAGCCTGAGCGAAGGAAGATAGATGCTTTTGAACTGTGGTGTTGGAGGAAAGTGCTGAGAGTGCCTTGGACAACGAGAAGATCCAACCAGTCCATACTTCAAGAAATAAAGCCTGACTGTTCATTGGAGGGAAGAATAGTAGAGGCCAAGATGAAGTACATTGGTCACATCATGAGGAGACAGGAAAGCTTAGAGAAGACAATTATGCTGGGGAAAATGGAAGGAAAAAGGAAGACCAAGGGCAAGATGGATGGATGGTATCCTTGAAGTGACTGGATTGACCTTGAAGGAGCTGGGGGTGGTGATGACCGACAGGGAGCTCTGGCGTGGGCTGGTCCATGAAGTCACGATGAGTCGAAAACGACTGAACAAATGAACAACAACACTCCCCTTAGTAGCTGCCAAGTCTTAGCAAAGCATTTCAGAATGGGATGATGATTTATAGAAAGAGAATGGGATAGCTATTATGCATCTCTGTTTTCCCTCCCTGTTGTAAATGAGAACATGCTTGAATGAAACATATTGTGACTCTATTGCAGTTTGATCCTTAGATGTCAGGTGAGCAACATTTTAAATAACTAACATTTATCCCTCAGCTTCCCATGCCAATGTTGTAGAGGTAAGCCATCCTCAAGATCCTCAGAGGATCTGTGGTGCTGCGAAAGCCAAGAAGCCTTGGCTGGCTGTATTCTGAGGAGGTATCTCCATTCCAAGTGGTAAGGAGAAGTGTGACAGCTGTAGAGATTGGTTGGGTTCATTTTTTGCTAAATATTTTAGAAACTTTCTATAGCAAATTGTTCAATTCATCCACCCTTTCTACTATGAATTGCTGATCTCCATTGCTGCACTGCTTACCTGTGTGGGAGTGATGGTGTTGACTTCTTCTGATGCCAGGCGCTTTAGCAACGTGGTTTTTCCAGCATTATCTAGCCCTAGCAGAACAATCCTCAGCTCCTGTTCTTCAGAACCTTTGAGCTTTTGGATGACTGAGAGAAGTCCCTGTGGTGCAAAGAAGAGGTTGAATGACTGAGGCTCTTATTTGTCTTTATGAACCAGAGAATGAAAAAGCTAAAAGATGTTAAACTTAAGGGAGCACACTTAGGGTATTTTTGTGTTCACTGTAAAAATCCTAGTTGTTATTTCCTAGATAAATAGGAATATGTTTTTGAGCCTTCATTTTACCTTGTAATCTGCCCCCCCCCCCCCAATAGAATCATAGAGTTGGATGAAACCATATGGGACTGCCTGCCATGCAAGAACACACAATCAGAGCACTCCCAACAAATAACCATTCAGCCACTTTCTAAAAACCTCCAGAGAAGAAGATTTGACTGGACTCCAAGGCAGCATATTCCCCTGCTGAACAGCTCTTACATTCTTCCTAATGTTTAGGTGGAATCTCTTTTCCTGCTATTTGAATCAATTGTTCCATGTCCCAGTCTCTACTCCATCTTGAAAATGACATCCTTTCAAATATTAATATTAAACCTGGTTATCATGTAATCTCTTAGTCATTCCTTCTCCATGTGAAACGTACCCAACTCCCTACAACTCTTCAGAATGAACTTTGGTCAGCAACAGTCTTGAGCAGCTCTAAGAATGGACTGAAATATTTTAGACATTAACTTTTTGAAACTACTTGTATTCTCTCCACTTAGCTTTCCACCTGACAGAATATAATCTGTAGGTCTCCATCAGTGGTATCATAGTTCTCTCTCATGTAGAGAAAATTGCCCACACAAGAAAGTTGTCACCTGGCTCAAGAGCAACTCGGAATTTGCAGAAGTAAAATTCCGAGTAAAAGGGACTCCTCCACCAGAAGCATCCCAATGAGGTTTCAACGTGTTTAGAGGGCACCAAATACTAGCTGACTATGATGTGGGGTGGATGAACCAGATGGAAAAGGGAATGGAAAGGTATGTCATTGAGGATGACATACATTGACTGAGTAGAACTGGAAACAGTAATACTCCCCCCCCCCCCCCCCCCCCCCCCCCCCTGCAACATTTTAACAGACCCTAGATGTGACCAATAACACCAATACTTTGCTGTGGAGAGTGGGTTGGCAGCAAGTTCTGTCCTGTAGAGTTTTGTTATGACAAGGCCATGATAATTCACTCACCTTCTGCACTTCACCCATGGTCAGGCTCTCTTCATCCTCCAGAGAACCAGGTACAGAAGCTGCCTAGGTTGGTGGCAGCTTGGTCTCAACTGCGTGACTGACATGCCTGGCTCCGGCAGGGAAAAAGAAGAGGATTATGACTCCAGAATTAGCTTGTGTTTCTCCATTTACCCAGGGTGTTCAGTAATACCCTAGGCAAATCCTCCCATGCCAGCTGTCGCCCTGGTGTGACCCAGTCTAGTCCTATCTGTTGAAGCCACGGTGAAAGAGACTATGCCCACCAACCAAAGTTACAACACATTCCTAGGTCAAACACCTCTCTTATACAACTTGGAGAGAAATTATTTCCATCTTAGTGACTTGATCATCTAACCCAGTTGGATGCAGTGCTTGTATATAAGGGATAGGATCTGAGCCATAGAAAGAAGCAATTTGGGTTGTATCTAAGTTAAGCAACTGGACAGGGTTTTCTGCAACTTGCAGATTTTCTGATGCTAATTAGGATTGTTTTCAGCTTGTGCCTGCGAGCTCCGTCTCTTGGAAAGAATGTCTTATATTATTAATGTGTTGAGTGGCTCCTATTGTAGATATGCCTGTAGAATATAAATAGCATTTGTCCTTTTTTGTAGATTTTTTTTGCAGAAGCATACACAATCAGTGTGTAGACATTCCACACCCAGCCAACATCTGTGCATGTTTGAATTTTTGGATCTTTAAGAAATGCTGTGATGACACTAGCAGATTGCAATTTATATTTTAACAGGTTTTTTTTGTTTTTGTTTTGAGGCCCTGGCTTTGTAGCCCTCCTTTTATGTTATACTCTATTTCCTGACCTAAGGAGAATGCTACAGAACTGATGCAGACAGTTCTCAATCACAGATTGAGAACTGTCAGTCTTTGATTTGATTTGATTCTCAGTCAAAGCCAGTTGCCTGAAACATTGGAGTAAGCAATAAAGGAGCCACATTTGCAAATAGTATTTAATTATTTAGGAGAAATTAAGTATGTTTCAATGAACTTCAAAAAGGTATCTCAGTAATGGCTGACTGGAGGGAAATAGCATCTATTCACTGTAAATGTAAAATGATGTACATTAAAGTAACTTCTTTTAAATCCTAACTTTATTCATTGATGAAACCATTGAACTGGATAGTTTAATGAACAAGACTCAGGACACTACTGCATACTTGATATTATCCTGCACTGTTCCTATAACACAAGATACCAGCGACTTACTTTTGTATTTTAATACCATTACAGTGATCAGTGACTTCACAGCCAAGTCATCACAATCACGTGATGCCACTGGCTGTGTGAAACTACATCTGGGTGGGCAGGATAACTCTGCCCTCCTGCGTTGCTTCCCTTCTTCATTTTTTTATAATTACTTTTTACAGACATTTTTCATGTTTAAAAATGTACAGTGAGGAAGCACATCTATGCCATAAATTCCTCAGTGGCAGGGGAAGTCACTAACTAATATGGCCATATCTCATTTAAAGCCTCTGAAAAAGAAATTCCTTTTACAAAAATGATTTTTCTGCCTACCAGTGTTTTTGAACTCTCTGCCCTCTCTGAAACAGATTTGACATTGGAAGGGTAGTAAAGAAAGACTGGAAAAACACAAGAGCTGTCAGTAAAGAGTTGCACTAAACAGTACAACAAAACCTGAGCTGAGAAAAGAAATAGGATCTTGCTTTGGCTGTAGCTATGCATTGCAAGCTAAGCAGCAACTACACCCCAAATCTCTTACTGAGCATACATGAATAGCAACACAAAAAGCAAAGGAAGAGCAAATATGTCTGCCCCACCAACTCCCCCCAGCATGTTTAAGAAGCACAGATATATAAGTTTGGTCACAAAATATGGTAATTATAAGGAAAATGGAGGCTGGTGAAAGAAAAAGTAATCCCAGGCTGCATTTTGAAAAATGCCTTCAAGTGAGCTCTAAAAGATTTCATTTTTGTCTGCTTATGCAAGGTTTACCTGACCTGGTTGATACATTTCCCATATGCATATCCATGGTTATTTCACATGTCCTTGGTTATCAAATGTATCATATTTATAGAATTCATGTGTGTAAAGAGGGGAGCAGATAGGAGAGGGAAGGCAAATGTATTCGCTTGATTTTCTGCTTGTAGGCTTCATGGAAGTATCTGTTGGATATTGCTGAAGAAAGAACCTGGATTCAGTGGGTTTTTAGCCTGTTTCAAGAGACTATTCATCCTTTCTTTCTCTCCCTCCCAGAGGTGGAGAACTGTGCCCCTCTCAGGTGTTGGGTGCTCCCAGATATGCCCTTTACCCTGCAATTGCTTTGCCTCATTCACAGAACTTTTGAAGGGCTCCAGATGACTGTATTTTCCATGTGTAATCCTTTTGTATTTACCACTGCTTCCCCCATCTTTTATTTTCCCTGAAAAGGTTGCTAAAGACAAAACAGCATCACTGGTGGATCCAGGAACTTTGTGTTTGGGCATACCTGTTCTCAGTATAGGGGTAACACCATCCTTGACCATTGATCAGGCTGTCTGTAGCCTGTGGGAGCTGGGAATTAATTTTTTTCTTGAAGAGGCACAAATGACCTTGCTGTGGACAGAACTGAAGGTCTTCAGATTTCTCATGAGAGAAAGTGGAGACGCCTGTAGAATTAAAGGGAGATTCTGGGAGCCATAAACATTATCCGACGCAGAGTCTCAATTTTGTTTTCTTCTGTTGGGTAGGGGAAAGGTTTTTAAAAACATGACACAGAAATCAAGTTAGGTGAAACCTTTCCCATGCCTGACTTTCTCAGTTGGGAAAAGTATTTGATGTTTATTCATTCTAGCTATTAAAAAGTTGCCAATGCATGCTTTGTTGATCCTAATGACTGACAAAGTTTGGGCCAGAGACTTTCTGTACTTTTGCCAAGTACGTTATTGCCATATTATTATGTGATAGGTGGTGCTAAACGTATATGGATACAGAGGGTGATGAATGTGTGAAGCTCTATAACCATCAAAGTCTGCAGGTTTTATGGCCTTTGATTTTTGATATTGCTGTTTTTAAATTGTTTTAAATTGTTTTTAAATTGTGTTAGATTTTAGCCTGTTCTTGTAAGCCGCTCCGAGCCCCAGGGGAGTGGCGGCATATAAGTTCGAATAATAAATAAATAAATAAATAAAGAGTGTGTATGCCTTCTGCAGCAACAGGTAACTGTAAGGCATCTGAGCAGTTCCCAGCAGCTGAATCTCAGGCTCTGCTTCAACCTCAATTACAGAGGCATTCAAAGCAGAACGGCAGGTTTATGCTATATCAGTAGCACCACTGCCTGATTAGAAAGAGGAACAAATAGAAAAACTGAGAGGTACAGAATACCATTTTTGGTAATACAAAAAGGATCCTGTTTTAAACACGAGAATTCTACCAGTGAAAATTAACAGTAGAAATTCACAATATAGTTTGTATACCATTCACTACTGGACCAAGATATATCAGAACCCATGATAATCCACAGTGATGAATTCTCCCCTAGGAGCTTTTTGGGAAAGAACTCCACCATCAACTGTTTTTGCATAGTTTCCAGTGTGATGATCTTTTAATTGAAAATGGTGCATTCAGTTTTCCATTAAAGGCATTCGCTACTGTGTCTATGGGTGCATCTATATTGTAGACTTAGTGCATTTTGCACCACTTTAACTGTCATGGCTCAACACTATGGAATCATGTGAGTTGAAGTCTTTACCCTTCTCTGTAAAATAGTATCTCACCAAATTACAGCTCCCATGATTCCATAGCATGGAGCCATTTCAGTTAAAGTACTGTCAAAGTGCATTAATTCTACCATGTAGACCAGTGGTTCTCAACCTATGAGTCCCCAGATGTTTTGGCCTTCAACTCCCAGAAATCCTAACAGCTGGTAAACTGGCTTGGATTTCTGTGACTTGTAGGCCAAAACACCTGGGGACCCACAGGTTGAGAACCACTGATGTAGATTAACCTGAGTCACTTACAGTGCTGAGTTAGCTATACTTTTGAGCTCAAATTTTAAGTTTTGAGAGAATTCATATTGGCTTTTATGTACTTAGCTGGCATAGTTTATTCCCATTACAAACACTGGATTTTCACAAAACTTTTTATTTTATTCTTGACTAGCTTGGGGACCCGGCAGTGCCCTGGTTATTTGAGAAAGGGCATTGTTTGTTTTTTGAAGTTCGGTAATATCAGTTTGGTAACGTACAACATTATTTATTAGAAAAAGCCAGTCTTTCCTTTTGTTTTTTATGAATGCTCCCATTAGAAAATGCATAAGGATGTGGGTGAACTACAAGTCCCAGAATTGTGGGTTAATCCTTCCCAAACCCTGCCATTACTGTATTCAAAGTTGACCATGTTGGGTCTGTGTGCCAAGTGTGGTCCATATCTGATATCGGCTGGATTCAGTGCTCTCTGGATAAGGGTGAACTACCAAATTTCTAGGGCTATTACCCACAAACCCAGCTAGTATTCACAGTTGCCATGTTGGTCTGTGTGCCAAGTTTGGTCCAGATCCATTGTCAGCTGAGTTTAGTGTTCTCTGGATATGGGTGAACTACAACTCCCAGATTCCCTGAACAATCACCCCCAAACCCTGCCAGTATGCACAGTTGCCCATGATGGGTCTGTGTGCCAAGTGAGATCCAGGCCCATCATTCGTGGGGGTCACAGGGGTGTGTGGAAGTAGGTGAAAGTACTGCAAATCCCATGATCCATCCTCCCCTAACCCTCACCAGGACATGAAGTGCATCATAGGGAGTCTGTGTACCAAATTTGGTTCAGGTACATCATTGTGGGGGTCATGGGGGTCTATGTGCAAAGTGTGGTCCTGATCCGTCATTCATGGGAGTCATGGTGGCCTCTGGAAGTGAGTGAAGATACTGCTAGTCCCATGATCCATGGCAATTTCGATCCTGATCCATCGTTGGTTGGTTCACAGTGCTTTCTGGATGTAGGTGAACTACAACACCTTTAAACCAAGGTCAATTCCGTCAAACTTGGGGCTCTGCGTGCCAAATGTGGTTCAGGTCCATTATTGAAGGGAGTCAAAGTGCTCTGCCTTGATGTAGGGTGAACTATAACTTCCGTCCTGTTGAGTCAGTCCTCCAAACCCCTCCAGTCTGTTTATCTGCTGATCAATTCCTCTGTGTTTGCTGTGTGCCAGAGTAAAAGGTTAAGGGAGAGACAGTGGATGGGGTCATACAAATTTCACACAAGGAACTCTGGGATGCCTGCCTGTGGTGGTATGAAATACATCAAAGGATGAAATTCTCCCTGAATGAAAGCATTCCTTGGGTGGTGAGCCGCAATGTTTGGGGAGGACATTGGCACTGTTTTGGCTACATGTTAATGGTGCTTGCTGTAACCTGCAATGCCAGTTGAGGGAGTGCCTTTGGAGGCTTCTTAGCACTTGGAACTATAGCCTGTTTGTGGAGGCAGGAGGCTGTCTGTGTAAGTGGACACCTCCACCACACACACACACACACACACACACACACACATTTTTCACTTTCACTTTTATTGTGTGAATAGATAGATAGATAGATAGATAGATAGATAGATAGATAGATAGATGGGCAATATGCGGAAGAACAGAAGGAAGAAAGATAGGCAAAAGGGACATTGATTTATGGGAAGGGCAAGAATAATTACAACATAGAGCCTCACCCTTGGCTGGAAACCCTGCCCAGATATTTCCTTGTTTCTGAGTATCTCACAGGTACAGCTACTCATGGGTTTGCAGGCTTTCTTGTGCAGTCAACAGGTGTGTAAATTCATATTTTCACTTATGTTGATGCAGAGAATCCCCGACTTCAGAGACTAGGTAGTGTTATAGCAGAACTGGGCCTCAGGCTATGCCTCTGGGTGATAGGCCTTCCAGATGCATGCTGTACCATCCAGGGAGACTGACACATACTGGAGGGAAGCAAAGAGTAGAATAGGTCATGGGATGGTAGCCATAACAATCCCTGCCCAGAACTTTCATTGGGGACAGTTAAGGTTCATTGACTATGCAAGGTCCTCATAAAAAGTTACTGGTGGAGGCTTCTAGTTGTATTCCAATACAGTAATACCTTCATGCTCTGGAACTTTAGTCTCTCATCTAGCTGCGAGTCAGAAGGGAATAAGAGGCGGCAGGCTGAATTGCACTGTACTATCAGTACAAGTCATGTTTTAAGATCACTCCAAGATATCTCATGCTACATCAAATCTTCATGATGGGTAGGCTTCTCCAAAGCGTATACAGATTTACACTAAGCAGTGAACTAGTAACCTGTTTTATAAGGGACATTTTCCTTCATGTAGGAAATCAGACCACTCTATGGTCTGATCAGACACAAGGGGGCAGCATGATTCAAGGCCTTCTTTTCCCAGGTGAGGTGCTCTGGTTCTTGCACTATGTTTCTGGCAAGGCTGGGCATCCAGGCAAACCAAATAGGAGCTCCGTAATCCTTAGCAGCACTGAGAAGGCATTGGCTAATTGCCACTCTGCTCAGGATACTGTTGGTATGTGATGTTTTGATGTCTTTATCTGGGAAGGCACTGGAGGCTGATAAGAACAAAACTGTTCAGTGCCAACTTCTTGGCTGAACATTTTAAAGCCCAGAGAGACTTTGGCATTCTTAGTACTGTAATTTAATATTTACTCTTGAAGATGTTGTGATTTTCTGTCAACATCTTTAGCTGCTTGATCAGGACATCTAAATATACTCTACATCAGTGAAGACATCACAGATTGAAGGGATTTTTATATTTCTAGTGCATATTAATTGTGATAGGGTAATCTGAGTTTGACTGTGATTTTTTTAAAAAATGTATATTATTTATTTTGTGTTCTAAGTATCCAAGTTTGGGGAAGTAATTTGACTTTCCATGCTTTTGGGATTTCCTGTTCATTTTGGAATTCATCTTGTTGACAACTGTTGTTAGGGAACCAAACAGATTTTGAGAAAAAAGAAAATCACTTCTTCAGTCCACCACATTTCTATGCGAACGGAGGTGGATGTTTTCTGTCACATGGAAAAATTACTAACAAGAACAACTGAAGGCATAGCTAATAGAGGTGTTCACATTTTTTTGTTTTTTTTCTCTAAATAATAATTTTATGTTACAATTTGGTGTTTCTTGAATTTAGGACACAGTCTTATAGTGAAAGAGCCTAGGGCATGTAAGAAATCGTACTACTGTACCATGTTAGTACTCGAATGAGGGGACTGCTAATGAATATCAGTTGCTGTAATCTACATTTCAGAGGAAGAAACTGCAAAATCACCTATCAGGATTCTTTGCCTTAAAATGCTATGACACGAATGGGGTCACTATAAGCTGACAGCCAACTTAAAGGCAGGTAGGCACATGTACGACACACATACACTCTAAGGTAAAGGTAAAGATTTTCCCCTGACATAAGTCCAGTCATGTTTGACTCTGGGGGTTGGTGCTCATCTCCATTTCTAGAGCCGGTGTTGTCTGTAGACACCTCCAAGGTCGTGGGACTAACATGACTGCATGGAGTGGTTACCTTCCCACTGGAGCGGTACCTATTGATCTACTCACATTTGCATGTTTTCAAACTGCTAGGTTGGCAGAAGCTGGGGCTAGCAGTGGGAGCTCATGCCGCTCCTTGGATGAACCTGCAACCTTTTGGTCTGCAAGTTCAGCATCTCAGTGGTTTAACCCACTGTGCCACTGGGGGTTCTACTGTACACACACCCTACTCTGGCACAATGCAAGTCATGCCACTGCCACAAAACTGCTTGGATAGACCAGTAATGAAGATGCATGAATGTATCAGTACTGTACTTCTATTTACAATGTGATCCGTTTATGGGATGCCTAATTACTGTGTGAGTGACAAGAATGCCAATGTAGTGCAGGAAGAATAGTCCTGTCCTGGTTCCACACTGCTCAGTACGGTGAACATAAGAAGCCTAAGAGTCACATTGTAACACCATGCGCTTGTGACTCTAAATATGCTATACACTGTAACACTATGCACTTGTGATTCTAAATATGATATAACAAAATGTTGGGCACAGTGCACCGCGGTTTGATCATACATCAACAACATAAACCCATTTCTGTGTGCTGGTTCAACCATGGCCTGGAACCAGAAGTGAGAAAATCTGTTACCTGCTTCATTTCTGGTACATGGATGAGACTCTTGATGGAGTCTTGATGCCCTGTGTAAGTCTGCACTTGCACTCCAGAGCATGGGTCATAAACTCTGTAAGGAGAAAAAGAGGTAGCCAAAAATATTCAAGATGGGCTGCCCTTTCATCCCTTCCCATATGATCCCATTCAAACCTAATTGTGTCATGGACTCCAGCAACAATGCAGCCATTGGCCTGGTCAATGCAAAGGCAAGTGATTCCCCTGGGGGCTGTCAGGTCTTGTGTACAGCATTCACCATCTTCACTCTGTGTGTGTGAACCATATAAGTAGCTTCAGACCTCACAACCTCTGAGGATGCCTGCCATAGATACAGGTGAAACGTCAGGAGAGAATGCTTCTAGAACACGGCCATATAGCCCAAAAAAACCACAACAATAAATTAGCTTCTGCCAAGAACTGCATTCCACTAGCAAGGTTTCTCCCGTGCCCAACCCCATCCATTGTTCAAACATTATAATACACAGCAAAGCAATTTGATAACTGCATCCCTTCCAACCTTTATTTCCTTACAATTCTGAAACAGAATGGTTTACTACATTCTAGGAATTCTTCCCTCATATTATTTATTTGTCAACTATACCCCATGATGGATGATCAGCTGGATGAAGTCAACAGCTGATTTTGCACTTACCCAGATTCGAATGGAGCCATCTTCAGTCCCACAGACCCACTTGTCCTTGAGAGGATGCCAGACCAAGGCTACAACAGTGGCTTTGAGCCCACTGAGCTCAGTCAGGAGTAACAGGTCAGTGCAAAGAGGGTTGAATGCACAAATGAAAACTTGGCCAGTGCTACAAGAGAAAGCAAATTCCCTCCTGCCAGGACCAGGAGGGTCTGAGCTGAGGATGTAGGGATGACAAAACCTTTGGAAAAATCAACATTTCTGAACCCAAACCCAGTAATGGAGTCCCTGTAGGATGGAGGTTTTCTTGGAAGGATTTGTTCAGAGAGATTGCTTTTTCCATCCTCAGAGAGTGTGCCTTGTCCAAAGTTACACAGTGGGTTTTCATGGCTGGGATTCAAACTATGCTGTCCTGCTATAGAACTAAGATACCGAACCACACTGCCTTTTGGGGAAAGTAATAGTATCAGTAACACAACGGTAAGTGGTTGAACTAGATGACTCATCAAAACCCTCCTAACTCTTATTCCACAGCTGCCCTATAATTTATTTGAATTATCAAAACATAATAAAATATAATGGCTCCCATGATAGACAAATAGACTAACCCACCTTTTGGGGGAATAGGCCACATCTAAGATGGCCTCATAATTCCCAGGCAGACTGGAGAAGTCATTTAGCAAGGAGTGGTTTCGTAAGTCCCAAAGACACAGTCTTCCATCCCATCCTCCAGTGAGCTACAACAAAATGCAGCAAGGTGAGCTCCTACTTCACTAAACTCTGCTCTTTCCACCCCATTCGTAGACATATTGCCCACTCACAAGAGGTCTTCCTGTAACTGTGGCCTTCCTCCAATCCATACTTCTTGACGCTCAGGGAATATATTGTATATTATCTTCAGGTAACCACATCTCCTGCTTTACAAAGGACAGTGCCCTAGATGAAGGGCTGACCAAATTGGGTTTACTTTAAAGATTCAAAACCCCATATGTAGGGAGAGCAGCAGCAGGTGAAAAGCTGCCCATCAGCAGTGAGCACCTGGCCTTCATATTGAGCAGACACATACCAGTCTTTCTCATCTCTGTGTCCGGTATTGTAACAAACCTACAACAAACCATTGTAATTCTGGTTTAATTATACTAATTCATTGCAAATTGAACTCTATCTGTATCTCTGTAGTGAATGCAAATCCAGGTTGAGTATCCCTTATCCAAAATACTTGGGAATAAAAAGGTTTTGGATTCTAGATTTTTTTCAGGTTCTGGAATAGCTGTATTTGCGCACGCGCACGCATATGTGTGTGTATGTGTGTGTGTATACACACACATACACACATCTTGGAGATGGGATCCATATCAAGACACTAAATTCATTTATGCGCTATACAAACATAACCTGATGGTAAATTTATACACAATATTTTAAATAATTTTGTGCATGAACAAAGTTTTTTAAATATCTTGAACCATTAGAAAGCAAAGGTGTCACGATCTCAGTTATATGGACTCATATGGATAATTTTAGATTTTGTATTTAATAAAGGGATGCCCAAGCTGTATTATACAATTTATTTATTTACTTCCCATATTTATACCCTGCCCTTCTCAACCCTTAGGGGACTCAGGGTAGCCTTACAACAGGCACAATTTGATATCACCACATATCAGTCTGAAAATAAACAAATACAATTAAAATCCAAACAATCAAAAAGATAAATTATTATAACCAGAAATACAAACTATACTAATGTATGCCCCCTTTCCCATAATACATTTATCCTTCTGTAGGGGTACCTTATATGGTTTTCCCCAAATTATGATTTTCACTTACCAAATAGGGGAAGTGGATGTCAGTGTAATCACCTGCCAAAGTGAGTGCTGTCACCATGCCTGTGTGCCCACAAAGTACCATTCTGCAAGTGAACCCTGTTAGAGGCAACACTGGCATGAGAGACAGTAGCAGGGCAAAGAAAGAAAATGGGCAGATTTTTTTAAAACAACAAGGAGACTCCCAGAGGATGAGGCCAAAATTATTTAATCCCAATAGAGCAGGTCTAGGGAGTAGACATCATGGCCACTGGAAAAAAGACTATGGGAGTTATTTATCACCTTTAGACCAAATACTTTGGAAAGCAAAAGAATCTTCATCCCTATTGTGCTAAAATATTTCACTCTCTTCAATTGAAAAGTGGTGCAAAAGCACCAGGACTAAAGGGAAAAACAGGGAAGAATGGAATTTCAAAGGTGCATGTGAATGAATACTTAATAGTTACAGAATCAAAACATTTAATGGGAGTGCTGACATAAGGTGGATTGAAGAGAATTTGTTTTGCACCTCATGTACTATTGAGATTTGTTATTCAATGTTTGAGATATGACTATAAAGAGGAAGAGTAGCAGCAGCAATTGTTAATTTCAAAAAATCACTTTCAATTTATGGCAATCATATAAGTAGAGACTTCCAAGATATTCTACCATCACCAGCCCTGCTCAAGTCCTGCAGACTCAGGGCATGGCTTCTTTAACTGAGCCCATTCACTTGTGTTGTGGTCTTCCTTTTTTTTCTATTGATTTCCATTTATCAAACATTATAGTCTTTTCTTATGAGTCATGTAATTTCATGATATGTCCAAGGTATTATAGCCTCAGTTTAGTAATTTTGGCTTCTATGGATAGAGCATTCTTAGACCAATTCATTTATCTTCTTGGCAGTCTCTGATATCCATAGAAGTCTCTTAGAGCACACACTTAAAAAAATCCTTGAATTTTCTTCAATGTCCAATTTTCACAACCACACATAAAAATAGATCCCATTGCTAACTTTGAAAATATAACTTTCCAAACCCTAGTCCATTTAAGTAGGTCTGAAGAAAAATACATTTGAAATGTGATAGACCATTTTATGTTTATTTCTGTGCACCTTTCTAATGTTCCTCCTATGGTCCTATCCCATCCCAAACCAGTGTCTTCACCTGCTATACAAGAGGGTGAATGTTCTTGAGCCTCCTCATCTTGGGTGTAGGTTGAAGCCAGTGTTCTAGCATCCTTATCCAGCTCAGATAGACATTGCTACAGCACAAGAGAAAAATATCACAAGCCAACAAAATAAAACTTTTTGTAACAATCAGAAATGAGAGTAGCACAAGTGAAAGCATTTTTATGCTGATTTTAGATTTGTCTTTTTCCCCATCACATCAACTTTTTAAAATATGATGAATGGTACATTAAAACAGACTTTTGTAAAGTCTGAACATTTCACATCATATTCGTGTAATACAAGCCAAGAAGTATTTTTGATCAGTTACAATTTTAGGTCTTCTGATAGAGTTCTTTGTGCTGAATTCAGATCTGTGCTTATTTTTTCCTCTATTATGTGTAATTTCTTTGCACGATGAGGCTAATCAAATAATACATTTACACACTGATATCAATTAAATTCTCTTGATATCAGTGCATAAATGCATTAATTATTCAATTGGCTTCATTGCACAAACTACATATGATAGAGAAAAAATAAACACAGATCTGAATTCAGCACAAAAAACTCTAGAAGAATGACCTAAAATTATATCTGATGAAAAATACTTGTTGGCTTGTGTGTTCAACAATTAAGGAAACTGCTCGAATCTCCTTCTACAACAAGCCCTTCATTTACGAGCAACCGTGTTTCTATGACATGTCTCGTATTCCACCAGAATATCTTGCAATGGAATTCCTATCATCTCCTCTAGCTCGGTCATCCTGGTTGAGTAAAATGTTTATTTATAGAATCATAGAATCAAAAAGTTGGAAGAGACCTCATGGGCCATCCAGTCCAACCCCCTGCCAAGAAGCAGGAATATTGCATTCAGATCACCCCTGACAGATGGCCATCCAGCCTCTGTTTAAAAGCTTCCAAAGAAGGAGCCTCCACCACACTCCGGGGCAGAGAGTTCCACTGCTGAACGGCTCTCACAGTCAGGAAGTTCTTCCTCATGTTCAGATGGAATCTTCTCTCTTGTAGTTTGAAGCCATTGTTCCGCATCCTAGTTTCCAGGGAAGCAGAAAACAAGCTTGCTCCATCCTCCCTGTGGCTTCCTCTCACATATTTATACATGGCTAAACACTCAAAACTATTTACCTGTTTGCCTCTTGACCAAAGATTTGTGGGAAGTGTAATTTAGTAAAGAAGCTAAAGTTCTGAAAACGAAGACTTGCTAAGGTATGCAGAAAGAGTACCTTTGGAAGAGGTTAAAACCATCAGTCTAGTTTCAAGATACTATATGCCAGAACTTTAGCATCTGACTACTAATACACAGAGACTGAAATATTTCATTGTTACAGATCCTAGATGATATGGTGATATAAATCTCCACTGTTCACACTGGTTGGGGAATTCTGAGGGTTATAGTTATTTTTCTTCCACATGTTTATTAAGCATGAAAATTTCTATATCTGGACATTTTCCTAAGATGTTGCCCCCTTTTCTAAAAAAAAACCCAACAAAAAACGTATTGTCGACGGCTTTCATGGCTGGAATCACTGGGTTGTTGTAGGTTTTTCGGGCTATATGGCTATGCTCTAGAAGCATTCTCTCCTGACGTTTCGCCACCTTGGACATTCCACAGATATATAAACCCAATTTTCCTAGTTCCAACAGACCTCACAACCTCTGAGGATGCTTGCTATATATGCAGGTGAAACATCAGGAGAGAATGCTTCTAAAACATGGCCATATAGCCCGAAAAAACCTACAACAACCCAACAACAAAAACAAACAAACAAAAAAAAAAACACCCCCCCCCCGCAAAAAACCAAAAAAACCCAAAACCAAATCACTATTGCCAGAGGAGTAGAGACACAAGTTGGGTATTACTAATGAAAATTTTTTGGCCTATTTTTTCAGATTTAGAACTATTTATGTTTGCACATATCTGCATAATGAGATATCTTAGAAATGGAACTCAAGTCTAAACACAAATTCATTTATCTTTCATATATACTTTATTCACATAACCTGAAGTTAATTTTATAAATAATATAAATCTATTTTTTAAAATGTAGGCATGACACAAAGGTTTGTGTATACTGAAAGCAAAGATGTCACTATCTCAGCCACCCATGTGGAGAATTTCTTGTCGCCAAGCCTGTGCCTTGAGTTGATAATCAGTCCTACGATATTCTGCTTGCCACAACATAGTTTAAGGGTCTGCGCTTACTACCTCATCACATGAGTCTTTTTTGCACTTCTCTGTGCTGCCAACATGTTGCCAGAATGGAGTCCCCTAAGGTCCATTAAATGACACAGGGCTACTTACGGTGGCGCTCCATTGGGCTCCATGCCGGCAGCGCCAAGAAGTGGAGCCCAAAGGAGTCCGGTGTAGGGAGGAAGCCGGAGACAGCATGGAAACATCTTGGGATGTGATCCCATGACCACCAATGGAAAGTGTAAACCTTACACTGCCCCACGATTTCCCCCACTGTTCCCTGTCTTATGAACCACAATGTGATGAGGTCATTACTTTATTGCTATTTTTTCAAATGGACATGTAGTTGATTTTAAGTAACTTAACCTCCTGCAGAATAACTCTAAAGCCCTGCCTTCTTCAGACAATAAAATTAAGAGGGTCAGATGATGGGAAGGAAACTGAGATAGGGGTTTGTTCTCACCTGGACATGGAGATCAGCATATGGAGTTAACCTCTCAAACTCCCAGAGATAAATGTTCCCATTTGTTGCTGACATTACCAGAATATCCAGTTGATCAACAAACAGGGCCCTGTCAAAAAATTATAGCAAGAGCTTTACATCCATACTTGAATCTTGAGTTCCTTCCTTCACATACGCATGTGTGCGCACACACAAACACACTCATGCTTCCCTACTTTCTTCTAGATAGCCAACTAAGGCCCCTTCTACACAGCCATATAAAATCTAGATTATCTGCTTTGAACTGGATTATATGACAGTGTAAACTCATATCCATTTTAAAGAAGATAATCTGGATTCTATGACAGTGTAGAAGGGCCCTTAAAGGGGTGGAGTCATCCTAGTAAACAGATTTCTCAGGAACAGAGGAATCTGCTTTATAATCACAGGTTGGAATGCTTACTTTTTGCACTGTAATTCCCAGAATCCCCATGCCAGTTTAAAGTGTGGAGGTCCTAGATTATGCATGGGCAAACTTTGGCCCTCCAGGTGTTTTGGACTTCAACTTCCAGAAATCCTAGCCAGCTTACTGGCTGTTCGGAATTATGGGAGTTGAAGTCCAAAACACCTGAAGGGCCAAAGTGTGCACATGCCTGTCCTAAATTATATGGTGCTTGGACTGTGTTGGCCGAAGTTAGATGGTAGTTCAGAGAAGTGAGCTTTGGTCTAAATCACCTTATACAGCTTAGTACACGTGCCAGTATTGTGCTCTGGTTACTGTACATTGATTTATGTGACATGTGCTTGGGGAAAGCAGCCACAGGGAGCACCAACCCTGAGAGTTTGACCCTCTAGGTCTCTGGTTCTCAATCTGTGCTTCTTGGGCTCTGTGTGCACTTTCGGGGGTGGGGGTTGGGGGGAGGGTGGGGGGGTGGGGGGAGGGTGGGGGGGGGGGGGGGGGGGGGGGGGGGGCTCTGCGACCACTCCAGGAAAATAAAATAAATAAAAATAATCAAATAGTTTTAAAATACAATTTTATTTCATGGCAACTGCACAACTGTTTAGATATTTCTTTACTTTGCATTTCCTTACTATAGACCTGCTTCCTCTCCCTATAAAACTACTCCTAAACACAATTAATTTATAAGACATTGGGTACACCTAAGGGGTTCCATCAAAGGAACTGATTCTAAAAAGGGCTCTGCACGTCAAAAAGGTTGGGAACCACTGCTCTAGGTAATCTCTACTTCACCCCCCCCCCCAAAGCCCCAGGCTGTATGACCAATGAAGAGAGACTGTGGCTGGATCTATTTTGCCAAATAATGCAGTTTGAACTGCAATATGGTGAATGTAGAAGCATATAATGCAGACTAAATGCATTAAACTGGATTATGTGAGTCTAGAGCCATATAATCCAGTTCAATGCAGTTAATCTGCATTTTGAAACTGCATTATATGGCAGTGTAAATCCAGTCTGTGGTTCTCCAAAGGGATCTCTGATGCGGATTTTTTTTGGATATAGGGTCCCCACTGCTCCCACAGATCATACCTTGTGAAGCCTATGATCTCTCTTTGTGTGCTTTTGGCTGTGCTTCGGGCTCTAGTGTAGCTACTCTGGTGATCACGAGGGCCCTTTCTCCATTTCTGAGGAGAGTTTGGACGAGTTTGGAGCTCCTTCCTGCAACCTTTATCCCTCTCCTGGGGCCCGGGCCCTTGTCGCTCCAGCTGGGCTTCACTGAGGCGGAAGGACTCCCTGCTGAAGGAAAGAGACACACAGGGTGACATGAGATGTACATCTGTAGGTGTAAACAACACACTTGTAACCACGGTCAGGTGTTCTACTCTGAAAGGAGGTCACTATTATGATCAAAAGAAGTGTAGTAGGTTTGATCAATCATCTCATAGTTCTGGTAGCTGACAGCAGTCTTCTGGCTGGACTATGATTAAATTCTTGTAATCAACAGCACTCTTCAGCCTAGGCAGAGCCTGGAAAAGCCAGTGGCCATGTTGATTTGCAGACTTGGAGAATGGTAATCCAAAATTTATTTATTTATGCCTATCCCACTTTTCCACAGAATTAGCACTGAAGGTGACTAACAAGATACAGTTGGTTTTTCACGTTCGTGGGTTTGACTTTTGCAAATTTGATTATTCATGGATTTGATTAATATATTCCCTCTAGGAATCTCTAGGTCAGTGGTTCTCAACTTGGGGTCCCCAGATGTTTTTGGCCTTCAACTCCCAGAAATCCTAACAGCTGATAAACTGGCTGGGATTTCTGGGAGTTGTAGGCCAAAAACATCTGGGGACCCCAGGTTGAGAACCACTGCTCTAGGTCCTCTCGTGCACTGGAGAAACCAGAGACAACGGTTTTCTAGGCATTTGTAGGTCTTCCAGTAGAATAAAATGACATAAGGTCATGCTGGAGGACCTAGAGATCTCTAGAGTTGAAATAAATAGTATTTATAATTCATGGTTTTTCCATAGACGTAACCACAGATAATATGGAAGGCCTACTGTAAATAAAAACATAAAAACAATTGCAAATAAAAACTTCATACAGTATTATTAAAAACACAGTTAAAGAAGTTACAGTATCAAGACACAATTGAGCTTAAATAGTTTAAAGAGACTTAATTTTCTAAAAAGATGACGATGAACCAAAATAGTAACCTTTCCAAGCCTTTTCCTCTGCTTACTAGTATTTCTAATACTGGGGACTTAGTTAGAACTGAGAATGGCAGATTTTATCTGAGTTGCACAGAAAATGATTCTTACCTGTAAATAAAGGGAGATATGTAGCTCCTTTCCCATTTTTGCATTGATCCACTGATGTCACCACTGAAGAGCAAAATAGGTTCCTTCTTAGCTAATGAGAGAATATTCAGAAGGTCAACTGAAACATCATTGGACTGAGAAGCCAAACCAAGGAATAATTGCTAGTCAAATAAAGCAAAGATCACCCCCATCCCACTCCAAACTACTATCTGGTTTGGCCCAGATAGATAAGGCTCACCTTGTGAATCTTATTGGTACTGATCTGTTGAAGCTGATGTCAAGTAGGAAACAGAGCTTGAGCACTTACCATATGCTAAACATTCAAGTGGATGTTTGCAGGCCAGCACTGTCATGCAGCCCAATTCACTATAGCGCCAGACTAGTATTTGCTGTGGCTTTGCTGTGCCTGGAATGAGGAAAACTTCTGCTTATTCTGTCTGAAACCAACAGACTGTTTGTTGTTTGTTTGTTTCTTAAAATGCTTTAGATTGTTCTATAAACTCTTGCCACATCCCTGGCTTTGCCATATTTCCAAGGGGGATGAATGCCCAAGCTACAAAGTGTGATATTAAAAAGGAGACAACAGCTCTATTCCTGCTTGTACAAATCAGTATGTACCCATGAATATGAGACAGCAATGGGACACAGAAATGAAATGTAAGAAAGGTTCAATACCATATTCCTACATGTTCACATGCTAACTCAGGTAGCTTGGCTCCGGCTTCTGAAATTATCCTCTTTTCTCCATTTTCACTTGTGCTCTGATGACAAATCAATCAATCAATCAAATTAACAAACAGCATTACACTTGTATCCCTTTTCCTCCAAGCATTTCATACTATGGCCATTGTTGTGATGGGGTAATTTATATTTCTCACTGGTTTCTCAGGGAGGTATCTAAGGGCCCTTCCACACAGCCCATATATCCCAGATTATCAAGGAAGGATATCCCTCATTATCTGAGTGTGGACTGAGATAACCCAGTTCAAAGCAGATATTGTGGGATATTCTGCCTTGATATTCTGGGATATAGGGCTTTGAGGAAGGGCCCCTAGAGACCCTTCTCAGCACCAGTGGAAAAGTAACAACAAATGGCAGTGGCAATAAACAGTAGCGTGTTTGTATGTTCTGTTTATAGGCACCTTGTGCCGTGTGTAAGCTGCCCAGAGTCCCTTCGTGGAGATAGTGGTAGTATAAAAGAATAAAGTTATTATTATTAGCAGGCAGGGCCCTCCCACACAGCCATATAGCCCAGAATATCAAGGCAGAAAATCCCACATTATCTGCTCTGAGCTGGGTTATCGGAGTCCACACTGCTGTATATTCCAGTTCAAAGCAGATAATGTGGGATTTGATTCAGCTGTGTAGAAGGGGCCTCAGTCCCAGCCATACTCTCAACTCAAACTCCACTTCCAGAGAAGACAGCCACCCAGTATGTATCTTTGACTAGTAGTCTCTTCTTTTCCCAGCACCTGGCTCTGTGGAACTTTTGCTGTCACATTATTTTGGGAAGGGTAATCTGAGAGACAAACTTTGTCTTTTGGACAGATGATTTCTTGAGGTATCCCTTTCCAGATTTCCTCCTAGAGAGCCAGGCACTGAAGAAAGGAGAAGTAATAAATACAGATGGCCTGAACCCAGTGATCTGTTATGCAATTGCTCCTGTTTGGCAAGAACCAAGTAGGATCCTAAACATAGTTTTGTTTTCCTCTATTATCCACATGATACCTTATGAATCAAGTTACGCTGGAAGATAATGACTGTCCTACAAAAGGAGCCAGCAAACTTGAGAGCTGAGCGGAGACTTGAACCTAGGTCTGTGCAGTCTGAAACCACCCCTTTAATCCAGATATGGAGAACCTTCTATCCTCCAGGACTTAATTAACAGCCACTGCCATTATTCTTCAGTGACCACCATACTGGCCAGGGCTGATGGAGACTGAAGTCCAAAGAGACACAGCTTCCCTTATGTTGCTCTAACAAATGTGTCACATTGTACTTGTTTCTTCGTCTAAGTGTATTTTTCTCCAAAATGCTTGCAAGGACTTGATCTACAAATAAGAAAGGGTGGTGAATCCAAAAACCTGGCACAGATCATTGGGAGGCCAGGGGAGATCTTACATTGCAGTTGAGGAAGGCGGCTTTATTAGAGTGCTCACCAATCACATGCCTCGAATCTGGCAGGCTGAAAAGCTGTTGGAGAAGGGGGCCATCCTTCTTCTGCTGGAATGTGGATATGAACTGTGAAACCTGAATTTAGCACAAAGGAATATAGTACAGATGGCCATTTAATAATCATTTCGCCTTATTCCTTTCCCAGCATGCAGAATTAGAGACAAGTGCCACGTCATTTCCCCTGGGAGTTGGAGAAAGATCAAACATTAACTTATGATGGAGCTGTGGAAAGCTGTTGTTTGAATGAATAGTTTACATAACAGCAGGGAGGAAATTGCAGAAAATTCAGTTTCTGGTGCTGGGATGATTAAGAGTTATAAAGAAATGTCAACTCTGAAACTATTTTGGAGAAATTTGAAGATCCAGGAATACATTACTAGTGGCATTAGAAGCCTTTGAAGCATCTATTCAAGCAAAATGGCAAATGAAAAATCAGCTATTCAGCATGCCCCCAGAAAGGAGGATACAACCGCTCCGGAAACTACTTGAGAAGAGACATCATTTAATCTTAATTGTATCTGCCACCTGACATTTGAGAAAGGCTTCGTAGTATTTTTTCCAATGTAAAATAGCTGTGTATCATCCTTATGTTAGCTATGCCATAACATAATGATCAGAAAAGATGGGTTTGAGCTGCCACAAAAGCCACTGGTTACATGAAAATGCTTCATCTAAAAGCAATCTCTGCACCCCAGGTCATTTTAAAGACGTCATTTAAGTAATGAATAAGAAAGATTTTCCTACAATCAGGCTAGCTGACTAAAGATAGAGTCATCCTAGCAAAAAGTTAGAACTCATAGGAACAGAGGAATTTGCCTTAGTTGGAACGCTTCCTTTTTACCAGCATCCTCATGCCAGCACGACTGGTGGCCATATAGATTATGAGATTCTGGGAGTTGAAATTTAGCTTTGAGTTGAAGAGTTGAAATCGAGTTCTGGTACTTCAGGTCAAGCATATTATTTGACCATCTAGCCTAGTGGTTCCCAATCTTTAATTGAACAGGGACCACTTAACCAGGAACCACTTGGTCAGAGATCACTTGACCAGGGACTACTTGACCAGGGAACACTCTCCAACATTAGTATCAAAAGGGTTATGAATCAGTTTTTTGGTCAACTATAGATTTGGTTTGGTTATTTAGGGTGCTGATTCAGAAAATTGCATTGGACATACCACATCAGCTCTAGGTTCTGATACGGAACATATGCCATCCAGCAGTCGCCATCTGCTTACCCACAGAAAACCGTATTTAATTATCTAAAGATGATGTGGTAGTAATAATATTTCATGGGAAGTCAGCCTCTCCCCTCCCGACATCCCTGTTGCCTCAGCACTATAAGAAGGTTTTGCGAGACCAATTGCTCTTGTTGTCGTGTAGTTTCGAGGCAACAGTGTAGTAATGGTGAAGCCGTGGACAATATTTTCATTCTTGCTGACCACTGGTGGTCCACGTACCACAGGTTGGGAACCACTGATCTAGCCCAATATTGTCTGCTCTAACTGACAGCAGTTATCTGGCTTCACAGACAGAAGTCTTTCTAATAATGTGTTACATTAACTTTTTTAACCTGGTGATGTTGGGAATTGAGAGAGGCAGGGTACTGTAGTATTGGACTATGGCTCTCGAAACTAGAGTTCGAAGCCATGCAAACTAAGTGACTGACTTTTGACAAGTCACACTTTCTCAGCCTCAGAGGAAGGCAAAGATAAACTCCTGAATAAATCCCCAAATGATGGGTTTATTGTAGAGCCACCCTAAGTCAAAAAAGACTTGAAAGCACACAACAACAACTGGGGATTGATCCTAGGGTCATCTATATTCAAAAGATGTCTCTTTCATGGAACTTGGGTCATACTCCTCCCCTCCCCTGGATAAGCCACTGATTCCTCTTCACTTGCCATGGCCTCCCATTTGCTGTACTGGAAGGCCATTACTGGAAGACCCCATACTTGGAGAGACTGTTTCCCTGTGACGCGGGACACATAGAGACAACAGAACATGTGCTTCTTCAGTGCCTGTTCTATAGAGATATTTGATCCCATCTCATTATGCCATGGCTATGCAAACAATTTTACATCTTCCTGTTGCTTTCAGGTGCTAACTTGGCTATAACTTATAATGTTGCCAAGTTGTGCACAACAGTGACTAAAATCCAGGAGTCGATGACTAATAGCACAAGCTAGTACAAGTCAGGATGTCATACTAGCAGAAAATTGGGATTACAGTCTTTTAATTATACTATGGATGTTGCTCCCTCCTCTGTTTGACTGAACTTCCCCTCCCTGTGCCACATAAGCACCCCTATTCCCTCTCTTCATATTCCCTTCCCTTTAATTCCATAAATTGTGTTGGGTTTTAACATAATCCTGTACATGGCTTTTAGCTTAGATTCTTAAGTTAATTATCCTAATGTCCTAATGATGATACACTTATTTTAAGGTTTTAAATCTCTCAACCCCTTCAATCTGATATGCTTGTAGGGGACTATGTCCCTCTTCTCTCAAACTGGTCATTGACCGTAATAAAGTGAACTTGATTCATAGAATCCTAGAGTTGGAAGAGACCTCATGGGTCATCCAGTCCAACCCCCTGCCAAGAAGCAAGAAAATTGCATTCAAAGCACCCCCAACAGATGTCCATCAGCCTCTGTTTAAAAGCTTCCATAGAAGGAGCCACCACCTCACTTTGGGGTAAAGAGTTCCACTGCTGAACAGTTCTCACAGTCAGAAAGTTCCTCCTAAGTTTCAAGTGGAATCTTCTTCCCTGTAGTTTGAAGCCATTGCTTCATGTCCTAGTTTCCAGGGCAGCAGAAAACAAGCTTGCTCCCTCCTCCCTATTACTTCCCCTCACATATTTATACATGGCTATCATGTCTCCTCTTAGTCTTCTCTTCTGCAGGCTAAACATGCCCAGCTCTTTAAGCCGCTTCTCATAGGGCTTGTTCTCCAGACCCTTGATCATTTTATTTGCCCTCCTCTGGACACATTCCAGCTTGTCAATACCTCCTTTCAATTGTGGTGCCCAGAATTGGACACAGTATTCCAGATGTGGTCTAACTAAGACAGAATGGAGGGGTAGCATGACTTCCCTGGATTCCCCATGCATCATTGGCAGGCATACAATAATAGGCTGAAGCAGGCAGAGTAGCAGAGACTCAAAGGTTTCATTCTAGAGGTCTGTAAATGTATCTCAGGCAAACAGGCTGCTGACACATACAGCAGGCTGAAGTGATTAAGCAATGCTGGAACAATATGTTTTGGGCTGCTGTGGGGCAGTGGGTGGAGGGAACTGCGAGCTTGAATGTTACCCAGGCATCTCTTTGAAGTGGTACAGGCCCATGGAAAGCTTTATCATTTAAGCCCGCCTAATGATTAAATAAAGCAAGAAAAGAATTCTGCTCATGAATGCTCTCAGCAAAATGTTTGGGAGTCTTTTGCCGACGTAACCAAGCAACTCTTGTTCCTCATTATGGTTACGATTTTGCTCAAAAAACAAGCTGGAAATGCACAATATAAACTCAGTGTATGTGTGTGAGAGAAATAGAAAGAAAGTCTCCAAACAAGTGTGGAAATCAATTAGTGAAGGCAGTGGTGTGCAGAGAAAAATCAACTGGGTGATCACTTTGATCGCTACTCACAAAAAGGGGAATGGAAGGAAAACAGAGCATGTCTCTTTGCAATGAGGTACAGAGAGGTACAGAGACCAATCTCGATAAAATAGTGAAGAGTAGAGACATCACACTGGCAACGAAGATCCACATAGTTAAAGCAATGGTATTCCCTGTAGTAACCTATGGATTCGAGAGCTGGATCATAAGGAAGGCTGAGTGAAGGAAGATAGACGCTTTTGAGCTGTGGTGTTGAAGGAAAATTCTGAGAGTGCCTTGGACTGCGAGAAGATCCAACCAGTCCATCCTCCAGGAAATAAAGCCCGACTGCTCACTGGAGGGAAGGATATTAGAGGCAAAGATAAAGTACTTCATGAGAAGACAGGAAAGCTTGGAGAAGACAATGATGCTGGGGAAAATGGGTGGAAAAGGGAAGAGGGGCCGACCAAGGGGAAAGGTGGATGGATGGTATTCTTGAAGTGACTGGCTCAACCTTGAAGGAGCTGGGGGTGGCGAGTCAGAAATGACTGAATAAATAAACAACAAAATTGAGAGAGCGGAGGAGGGGCTACATATGTATGTATGTATGCATAAGTATATCTGGGGTATGTGTGTTCCTTTCCTGACAATAAAATCCGATAGTGCAAAGTCATCTTTCACTCTTTTTTTCTTTCACTAGTTGACAGGATTGCAAAACCCATGTGTTGCCAGTAGAGGGCAGAGAGATAACAAGGTGGTGTTGGAACAGGGAAATGTCTGATTGAGTCACTCACTATTTCCCCAGACTGAGGTTCATAGAGGGTAGGCTGGGATGTGCCGCTGGCAATCCAGACGATGCCAACCGATGCCACGTAACACAGTCCAGTAATGTTGCCAGTGAAGGGACCAAGGCGCTGCATCAGCTGCCCATCTTGGGACCAGATGCCAACAGTCTGGTCAAAAGAACCTGAGAGCACTCTGCAGAGGAGAAAACACACAGAACAGCATAATGGAGTTTGGGGAAATCCTTTTTTAGTTCCCAGAATTACTTCAATAAACACGCCAGCTGCGGGATTTTTGGAAGGGAAGACCAAGGAAATACATTTTCCAAGCTTTGGCCCCATTTATTTATTTATTTATTTACTGCACTTGTAGACCGCCGTTCTCAGCCCTAGGGCGACTCACGGCGGTG